CCTTTTTTTTTTTTTTTTTTGGTGTGGGGGTTCCAATTTTCATTTTGGCAAGTGTTTCCCTCATAATTTTTTTGAGGGAGAAAAGCTAAGAAAGCGGGGAGGGTGGGGGCATTTGTCCTAGTGAGCTTCTTTTTAAATGAAATAGCTTAATTCTACACTTAACTATTGGAATGTAATATTTTGATTAAAAAATATTATACTTCCTTTCTTGGTATTCATCGTCGCTTAAGCTCCGAGTGTATTGGAAAACATTTGGGATCTAAGAATATGATTTTATTTAATGAATATGGTTTATGGTGGACAAGCTTTGTTTATCCAAGGAATAAGATTTATTAGCCTAATTGTTCGATATTTGTGTGAGATGAAAAAGGTCTTGCTTGCTAAGGTTAAAGTGTACCAGTTACACCCCTGTTTTGTTTTGCATGTTTTATTGTAACAAAGAAGGCAAATCCTCTTAAGCAAGGGCTGAAATTCATTTGTTTGTGTTTAAATGTCTTCACTTACATAATTTCCCTCTTTTTAGCCACATTTTACTAGCTGAGATATTGGAGGATTTTGTCTTAAGTGAAAAATATGAAGCATACTAACTCTTTTAATAATCCAGATTTCATGTTAATATTTGACATTGAAAGAGAAATACCCTTTCTTTAAAAGGATTTTCAAAGTTTATGCCAGGCTACAGACAGATACTGCACTTTCCCCAGGATAATGCATCCTATCCTGCGAAAAAGTGAAGTAGTTTGGATGTCCATATCCATTGTCCTGGTGATAATGTATGGTTTATTGGGTTGGTTTATTCTGGGACATTGCAAAATGTGTCTGAACAGGTATCCCATGATTGCATCATGGAATCAATGGCATAAAAGCAGCAGTGCATTCAGCTGCTCACCAGACCCCAAATAGAAAGTTGCTGTGTGCACACGCTAATCCTGGAATGTTTCTGTTCTCAGACAAACACAGGCACGTTTAGTTTAGGGGTGGACAAATGAAATGTCTGTTCCTAGCTGGAGAGACTGACAGGTCTTTAATGAAAAAATCAATATAGCTATTGCTATGATTTTCTTTCATTATCATACAGCATAAAAATAAATTGTAGCAGGCACTTAACTGATATCTTTTAAGAGGTCCTTTCCCCAAAGAGTTTGCTGTTCAAGCGGATAAGATGGAAAAAAGGTGAGATTGATGCTGTCTGGTCTTGGATAAATAAAAGCAGGTCTGGAGTGGACCCAGGACTAGACACTCTCTACCCAGTCTTCTGAGTCCTAGTCCAGCCCTTTTCCCTGCACTGCTTCCCGAGTCTAGATTTCCTAAAACCCCTGTCACAATGACTATAACTCAGTCTAGTTTTTGCTCTTCCTTAAAATGCTTTGGCAAATCTTGTGACATTTTAAAGGTTGCGCTTAAATAACCTTTCTATTATTTTTCAGTCTACCCATGTTTATTTTCCAAATGAAGCAAGTGGTTATAAGTTAGCAACTTAATCAGGATACACCTAATTTCTGAGCCATTTAGAACTTCACATACCACTATCGCTGTACATTTTAAGAAATTAATTACCAGAGTAGATGAAATTTTGTTTGCACTAGATAAAATACGTCACCTTTTAATAAAGAAAACCAGTACTGTTGAAAATCTACTGTGATTTCCCCATATGTCAGTGCTTCTGTGTCAGATTTGTAAAGATGGATGCCTTTTGTTTCGTATGTCAGACCTACAGTTTTTTTGAGAGATGCTTAAGGGATTCAGTTAAGGCATAACAAGATTTAAAAATTGTACTCACTTCATTGTGCTCTTATTTGGAACTGTTATGCCCCTTCCTCCATCCTATTCAGTGTGTGTACAAAGTGGCTTCCTTTTTGATTTTGGTTCTTTAATCAGATTGATGCTCATGATTGTACTTGTTCAGTTCCAGATGTGGGCTTGGGGCCCTTTGTGTCACAAAGACCATCATTTTATCAGTTTGCAGTTTCTTTATGCAGTTCCTGACATTAAGAAAACAAAAGAATAAACTCAAGATAGCATGAACTACACAAAGAAAGTTAAGGGGGGGAAGGGGAAAAAGTGAAATAGATTTGTACGTCTTGCCAGTGTCAGTTGATACCTGCGAGATGTAGATATTAAGCTAATTACGCAGTAGAGATCTGATGAATTTTATCCTGGATCCCAAAAAAGCACATATCGTGCCACGTCAGCCATGCGTAGCAGGATTCACAATTTTGGGGATCTGGGATAAAATTCGTTGGATCCCAGGTGTGTGATTGGTGTGCAATGTCCCCGATTCCTGACTGCCTGCATCCCCTGACATTCATGTACTAGTCCCCAGTGCTGCCACCCCTCCTCCCCATCCAGTGTTGTTTAAACTTGTGAGTGCCTGGGATCCTGATCCATGTGCACTGGCAAGTTTGAAGCCTTGCCATGTAGCCTGGTGCATGGCTGTATTGCATGGTGCCACAGTGATGTGAGCCCATCAACTCCTCATGGCCCAGCACCTTTTAAAAGCCCCACCATGCTGCTCTGCACATGGGGCAGCACAGTTAAGCTGCAGTTGCACTAGTGTGGGAAAAGCTCATCATCTCCTGTCCCCTTTTCAAGTCCTACAGGCACAGCTGCATAGCAAAGCTTAACATGCCACATGTTCAAGTTAAAGCACCATATAAACCAGCCACAGAGATGTTCTATATAAAATGTGGAACATCTTTCCTTTCTGCCTTGTTTGCTATTTTATGGTGCAATAAATTGAACATGTGGCATGTTACAGTTTGTGTGATTAATATATTAATTGTGCGGTAACTGTAACATGCCAGAGGTCTTTGATTAAAAAAGACAGAGAGAGATATTAAAATACCTGGGAAACGTATTGGTATCCAGTTGTAGCCATATTGGTTTAGAGGCACAAGTTTTGATTCCTTTTTCCTCCTGGAAGAAGTATGGGCACTGTATGAAAGGTGCACATAAAAATTCTCTGGCCTTTAACTGACTGCAGTATCAAAACATCTGGTATGAAATGCATGAGTCTATCAAGTAACATGTTTTGTGCTGTAGGTAGTACATATTCTGTAATTTTTTTTCCTGGAAAAATCTTTCAGTAGAGAACAGGGAAAAAGTGAACTGACATTTGGATACGAGGCGGAAGGTATTTTCTTGGTGGCCTAAAACTGGAAACTGTGCAAAAAAAATTAGTAGGTTTCTCCCAGCTTCCGGAAGCAGCTTATATCATAACATAATTTTTAAATTGCTGCATAGATGATGGTTGCTTTGCTGCCAAAGGAAGCATATTTGTCGGTGCCAAGACTACCTCCTTACAGTATGGAAAATAATGTTCAAATTAAGAAGTTCTTAACTCTGGAAGAGAAAAATATAAATTAGGTTGACAATGTTTTTAGATGCATACAAGATTAAATGAAAAAATATAAGATTAAATCTCTAAAATCTTAACTCTTTCTGTTTACTTTTCTTTAGTTCCAAACTTCTCATAATTTATCATATGGTTTTCACTGTCTTGTTTTTTCTTTCTTACTCTTTTTTCACTCCAATTTTAAAATACTGTGTTAAGTTTTATGAGTTGACAGAAGTTACTAATTTAGGTGCTTAGAATAGCTCTTTGTGTAGATTATAGCTAACTTCTAGACTTCAAAATACTCAGTTTAAGATTGATGCAATTAGAAAGCTAAATAGAGTTGTTTATGTATACATAACTTGTGCATGCTTAAAGAGTAGTTACCTGGATTTATTTTATTTTGTTTTTTGTATTGCTGCTTCCTTCAGTTCAGTGTGGTTGTGAATTTTGTGTTTTGTGTTTTCTTATATTTGATTTCCCTGCCAGGCCCTAAGCTTCTATTGCTAGAATGAGCCAAGTGTTCCTCTTAATACAAAGACATTTCAGTAGTAGTTTATTTAACTTGTGACCCTTCTAACTGTTGGTGTGGTATGTTAAATAAAGTCACTAAAACCAAATGACTCAATTTATGTGCAGCAAGCCATAGCAATATCTTACAGATCAGGTTTGACTAAATTGAGGCCATAGTCCAGGGGTGGGCAGTTATTTTGTGCAGAGGGCTGCTTACTGTGTTTTGGCAAGCCATTGAGGGCTGAATGACAGGCAGCCCAGGGCAGGTAAATATTAATTTTCTAAATTTTTTAGGGGCCCTGTGGGCCAGATAGAATAGCCTGGTAGGCCGCATCTGGCCCCCGGGCCACATTTTGCCCACCCCTGCCATAGTCTGTCAGATGTGTTTTTGTGACTTTCACCGTAATGGAACAAATGCATTTGTTTCATTCTGTCTACCTAGACAGATACACCCATGTTTCTCTACTAAATGCAATGAATTGTCAACCAGTCAGAATGGGAATTTTCATTGCAGTTGTATAATATGTCGAGTCTGTGCTTTATACATTAATTTCCCTTTTTTGTTTCTGTTCACTCTTCCCTTCCAAGTATATACTCATACACTAGACTGCAACTCTTTAAAAAAATGAAGTTGGATAGTAAGCCATACCTTTTTTTTTCTTCAGTCTGTCAAACCTTTGCCGCTCTCAGTTTTCCCAAGTAAATTTTAATTATTGAAACCAGATAATTCTTCCTTTGAAATTTAGCTAAAGCATTAGTTAATGTTTATAACAACAATTGGATTTCATACCAGTATAATAAATACTTATGCATGGGTCTTTTCTGTAGTTCAGTTTGTTCCATAAAATGAGTAGATGTTGAATAACACTGTCCAAATAAAAATGATATTCTTGTTTGTTTTTAGGATACTGGAGAATCAGGATGGTGGAGAGGAGAACTTAACAGTAAAGAAGGAGTCTTCCCAGACAACTTTGCTGTTCAAATACAAGAGTCTGATAAGGACTTTCCTGTAAGTTTTGGGGTTTTTTTGTATTCTCATTCTTCACCTCTTTCCCTTCCTTATCCCAAAACTCTTATCATGTAATCATTTGCCAGACATAGATACAGAAGAAATATACCTGATACAGTTCATCACTTCATAATGTAAATACTGTGGTGCCATTTTTGCCATATCTTCAATTAAGCTTCCAAGCTTCCCCTTAACTTTAATTAAAGGAAGGCAGTATTAGGTAAAAAACTTCAGTGTAAAATATGTAGTCCTTGAACACTTCTGGATCTCCGTTCAGTCTTTCAAGTGAAATGTGGTGCTCAAATTTACTTGATCTGCTTAATATGGGCAACTATGATTTTTAAAAGGAAGAAGCTTTCCTGTACTGTTAGTTCTAGTCCCATTTTCCTAGTTTCATAGACGTTATGGGGTTGGAAGGGACCCTGGGAGATTGAGTCCAGCCCCCCTGCCAGAGGCACAAAGTCTGCAGGAATCGGATGATCAAGTTGTGGAGTTAGCACCATATCTGAGACAATGCAGTGGTTGCACCATGCTCAATTGTTGTTTTCCCAGGCCATGTACAGGCATTCACTTTCCCCTGGGAGAGTTGCTGCTCTCCCAGTAGAAACCATGAGTATGCAGACATTCAGGCTTTTTCTCCCAAAGCAAAAAGGGCTGCTCTAGGAAAAAAAATAACCTAAATCACTCCTAAGAGAGTTTCTTCTGGGAGAGCGAATGCCCGTATACATTTTCTTCTGAAGGAAGCCACAATGCAATTTTCCAGCATCCCAGGGTGCTTTACTCCACTCTCCTTCCCCCCACCCCTGCACCCACTCCAGGAGACAGGATGTTGTTCCCTGGACTTTGCTGCTCCAGCCAAGCAGGGAGCAGAGCACACCCTTCACAATCCCTACATTATGAGACAGGAAAATGCAAGCTGACTCGAAGCTGTCATCTGTCTCAGGCAGACTAAGGGAACCTGCCAGACACACTGAGATGTGCATGCATGGGCCCCCTGGGTGCATAGCAGCAGCACTGCAAGCTCTCTGCCTTTCAGAGGTTTAGCATTCAAATGTCTGTCCAGGCATCTCTGGGTAAATTGTTCTACCAACAAAACACACCTGGGAGAATTCTCCCAGATCATTTGAATGCGTGTACACAACCCTACACATTACTTGAGGAAGCAAGTATGGATTTATATAGAAATATTTCACATACGAGTATAAACTTGGAGTTATTCAATGTCAAAATAAATAGGTAGGTATTTCTGATGCAGATGAGTCATTAGGCTTGGACTTTTGCTGTGCTTACAGAAATATGAAACCAGTATGGTGATGCCAGCCTTGCTTTTCTGTTGTAGGCTTTGGGGGCAGAATCTTACTTATTTCCAGTCTCCAGCAAACAGGAGTAAATAGGATAAAATAGGCATATACTTAGGTGACATATTTAACTGACCCCTTTTTTCTTGAAAAGGAAAATGGGCACTGACATCTCAGGCCTGTTTTTTCCTTTTTTCTGTAAGTAACACACTCATGCAAATCCAAAAGAACTTTGGTTGAACAAAAGTGGAGGGACATTCATTTAATAGTGCAACAGGTACTGAACCCAGCAATTGCATATGTCAGAACACATGATTTTAAGATCAGGGATCATGATCCTAAGACTCCCTCTGCATCAGTAAGTTGAAAGCCAGGTGATTGCAGAACTGGTATAGTCCTGAATCATGAATGGACAGGTAGCTGATTTTTTTGTTCCCAGCCCCAGGACTGCACTGGAGTTTGAGATGCCATTACAATCTGGGCTTGGGACTGGAAATCAGCTGATTATTGGTCTTAGCCCTGGGACCACACCAGAGCCCATTCCAGACCTATGCACTGGAATGTTAGAAACCTGCATGTGAAGGCCAGCTACGCACACTTTTTTTACTATACCGGCACTCTGAGATACTGGGATCGGAGAGAAGGTTTCCTGATTCTGGGTCCTCATGGGCTGGGGATGTCAGAGAACTGTGTTCAGCTGGGCTGGGGAGCCCCGGGTTGGGAAACTTTTCATAGCTTCCTAGATGTTTGGGTCGGAAGGGACCTCAGTAAATCACTGAGTCCAACACCCTCCCCTGGGCAGGAAAGACTGTTGGGGTCAGATGACCCCAGCCAGGTGAATGTCCAGCCTCCTGTTAAAGACCCCCGAGGAAGCAGAGAGCACCACCTCCCTTGGCAGCCCATTGTAGATTCTGGTAATTTACTGTAAAGAACTGCTCCCTCATGTCTAATCTAAATCTGCTCTCAGTCAGTTTGTGGCCGTTGTTCCTAGTTACTCCAAGGGGTGCGCTGGTAAACAGGGCATCTCCTATTCCATGCTGTGTCCCCCTCCCCCCCCCTGTTGAATTTGTAGGTGGCCACAAGATCACCTCTCAGCCTTCTCTTGCGGACGCTGAAGAGATCCAGGTCCTTCAGTCTCTCCTCTTAGGGTTCTGCTTGCAGGCCTCTAACCATATGAGTACCCCTTCTCTGAACCCTCTTGAAGTTGTCCACATCCCTTTTGATGTATGGTGCCCAAAACTGGATGCAGTACTCCAACTGCCGCCTGACCAATGCTGCTTATAGGGGAAGTATCACCTCCATGGACCTGTTCATCTTGCACCTGCTAATGTGTGATAAAGTGCATTTAGCTTTACTGATCATTTCGTCACATTGATGACTTGTATTCATTTTGGAGTCAGCTATGACTCTGAGATCCCTTTCTGCTTCTGTGCTGCAAAGAAGGTCCTCCCCCAGACTGTAAGGGTGTTGGTGATTTCTTCACCCTAAGTGCAGCACTTTGCACTT